TTTTTATTTTTTATTTTTTGGTCTCTCTAATTATATTTTTTTGTCCAACTGATTAAAGATCCTCCAACTAGTTGATGAGAGAGAGAGAGAGAGAGGTATGTCAAAACCAACAGGGCGAATCTCACATCTTCAACACAGCTGGGCTCATTGGGCCTCCCTAGCTCACTTGGTCTCGAGAGTTACAAAGCCCAATTAAATAAAGCTGATCACCCCAATGTCCAATGTCCATAGACTCCATACGAGTTCTGAGGCGGGGAAAGTTTTTGGAATACTATTCCATCCAGCCACTCATGCTCTAATTGCCAAACAAACACAGTATTAAATTACAACAACTTAGGATAATTTTTGGAATATTAGGATTTTTAGTTGGGAGATTTGAGAAGGAATTTAAAATGAAAATAAGAAAATATAGGTAAAATATGAATAAAATATACTAACATTTCACTTAATTCATACACATTTTCTTTTTCCCTTCTCAAATCTTTTCCCAAATCTCTCAACTAAATACAACCTAAATTGAAAAACTTAAGCAGGAATAAAAAGTAGTAGTCATCCAAAAATATTCAAAAAAAAATTATAAATTCAAATTTAGTACATTGTGAACCACTCTAAAAATTTAATCTAATCCACATATTTTATTTTATTTATTACATTTTTTTTTTCTATCTCCTTAACATTCACTTTTGAATTCAATTTTAAAAAAATTCAATTTTTTGTTTTGCTTGTTTTTTTTAGTGAATATTTTTTAAATTTCAAATAATTTTTTTAACTTTTTTAGATGTACCTTACTTAGATATATCTAAAAAGTAAAATATTTGTATAAAAAATATTTTAAAAAATTAATAAATACACAAGAATATGAAAAATGTACTGAATTTTTATATTTTTGGTATTTAGTGAATTTTGTAAAGATTTAGTTTTTACAAATATTATACTTTTTAAGTGTATTTATATTAGATTATAGGTAAAATATGAATAAAATATACTAACATTTCACTTAATTCATACACATTTTCTTTTTCCCTTCTCAAATCTTTTCCCAAATCTCTCAACTAAATACAACCTAAATTGAAAAACTTAAGCAGGAATAAAAAGTAGTAGTCATCCAAAAATATTCAAAAAAAAATTATAAATTCAAATTTAGTACATTGTGAACCACTCTAAAAATTTAATCTAATCCACATATTTTATTTTATTTATTACAATTTTTTTTTCTATCTCCCTAACATTCACTTTTGAATTCAATTTTTAAAAAAATCAGTTTTTTTTGCGTGTTTTTTTTTTTAGTGAATATTTTTTAAATTTTAAGTAATTTTTTTGGCTTTTTTAGATGTACCTTACTTAGATATATCTAAAAAGTAAAATATTTGTATAAAAAATATTTTAAAAAATTAATAAATACACAAGAATATGAAAAATGTACTGAATTTTTATATTTTTGGTATTTAGTGAATTTTGTAAAGATTTAGTTTTTACAAATATTATACTTTTTAAGTGTATTTATATTAGATTTATTTAAAAAAAATTACTTAAAATGTTAAAAAAATCATTGAAAAATAAAAAAATACGAAAAATAAAAAGTTTCAATTTTTTGAAAAATGAACTCAGAAAACTTAAACAAACAAGCTGATTTCTATTCTGAATTACAGGGAGTGCACATTGGAGGACTGGCATGAATGTTGATTACAATCTTGAATATTTTATAACACTTCACGACCCCCCCCTCCCCAAAATGTATTTAAAAAAGGGCCTAAATTGTCTGCAGTCTCAAACCGAATTAAACTGTCTAGTTTGGTCTAGTGAATTTCTTTTTGAGTTTGTTTAGACAATTTAAACAGTTTACATTTTAAATTTTATTAAGTATATCATATTTATAAAAAAAATTAAGTCGATCGGATAACGAAAATCACATATTCAAATCAATTTTGTACAAATAGTTTATTTTCTCACTGTTATTTTTTTATATAAAACTAATCCAAACACGTGATTATAGCTATCCAATCGACTTGATTTTTTATATGAATGATATACTCGACGAATCTTAAAATATAAATAATTTAAATTATCAAAACGAATCCTAAAATTAAACCCACTCTAAACTAATTTAAAATTGGAGAGAAACCAGAGCTTAAAAAAATATATGAATGGTGTACTAATGTCTAGTGGCACATGTTTTCGACACACGAAATTATACTTTGGTCTAGGGTTAACATCACGTAGTGCACCCACTCCATTTCTATTGGTTAGACCTTCTATTGGTGGCCGTCGACCATCCACCAATCAAATGCTAATAGAGTAACAACTTTGTACTTGGACCGCAGTAACATTTCTTCCAACACATATGGAATGCAACATAAAATTGAAAGGTAATTACATGTCACTATAAATGTGAACTCAACAATAACAGATGTCCTAATTGCATTGTCATAATCGTATACAGATCCTAAATTTGACTTGTGTATAGGCAATCGTTTGCAAAAGTATTAAAAATTTTAAATATATTAATCTTATTTATATATATATATATATGTCATATTATTTGAAATTTAAATTTATGTTTATACATTTATGTTCTAAGTTCTCCTTTAAATATATAAAATAGAGGAAATTGATGAAAAATTCATTCCAACAATTGTCTAAGACTTTAGGTTTAGTGATTTTTTTTTTTTTGTTGGTTAAAAGTACACACTTTGTAAAATAGTTTGGTGAGAAATACTAGAGAACATTTTATTTCCAATTTTACCTCTTGACTTTTTTTATCTGTTTGACTTTTCGTTGACTATCTGTTGAAATTTATATTTATCTATTCAAATCTTTTGTATATCTGTTGAAATTTTTTTATCTATTCAATATTTTTTGTCTATCTGTTCAAATGTTTTTTGTATAAATTTTCTATCTATCCAAATTTTATCTGTGCAAATTTTCTATATGTCCAAATTTTACCTATCTAATTTTTTATCTGTTTAATTTTTTTATCTATACAAATTTTCTATCCAAATATCTATATAATTTTTATCTATACAAATTTTGCAAAGAAATCAAACATCTGTTCAAATTTTTAGTTTTTTTAGCTGTAGGATTTTTTGACCTATTTGTTCAATTTTTTATCTCTGACTATTGAACCTACTTCTCTCTCTATGTGAAACCAAACATATAGAATTTGTTGAACCTATCTATCTATTGGACCTATATATCTGTAATTTGGTTCATTAACATCAACAACAACACAACATCACAACAATCAATATCTATTCAACAGATATACAAAAAATTCTTGAACCTATATATTTGTTGAACCTAAATATCCAATTTATTATCTGTTCAACAACAATAACAGATCTATTTGTTGAAAATCTAACGACAACAACAGCAACAACAAATCTACACCACCGAGAGTTGAAAATCTAACAACAACATCATCATCGTCATCATCATTAACCAACAACTAAGACTCTGATCCACCACAACAACAAAAAATAAAAATAAAAAATATATAAACATAGGGTTTCAACTCAAATCTGTGCACGACCAAGGGTTTAAACCTAAATGCTCCAGTACAGATCTACCACTAGTAGAAGAGAGAGAGAGAGAGAGAGAGAGAGAGAGAGAGAGAGGGGGGAGACCGTCGGTGATGGAGGCTATAACATCGTCTCTGCCTGCATCGACAGTTCTATAGCGGCAACACTTTTGCATGTCCATCTGGTTGTGCCCAACGTTGGAGGTGACGATGATCTGGACTGACAGGAGGTGGCAGGAGATGTCGGCAGTGACCCTAGATCTAGGGTTTTCGGAAGAGATCTAGAGAAAGAAAATAGATCAGGGTTGATCTGGCAACTGTACCGCACGACCCCAGAGGACGACGAAGTAGTCTTGTTTTGTTTAGGATCGAAGCTGTTGAGAGAAGAGAAAGAGAGGGGGACATAGAACATCGGTGAGGAGAGAGAGAGAGAGGTTTGGTGAGAGAAGCACTGTGTATACGGTATATTTATGTAAATGGGTAATTTGGTCATTTTACAATAATTTGTCCTTATAGACAAAATATTTTAGAGTCTGAATCTTTAGGCGACAATAATTCAAAATTGGATTTATGAACCGCGTGACATATAAAATATTATCAAAATTCTACCACCTTGTTAATGGAATGTTCAAAGATTTGTAGTTAATTTCTATCGTTGATTTCCTGTCTTTAACATTTTTGTTAATCTTTACTATAAGATGATCAATATGTATGAAACTCTAAGAACAATTAGCATGTGGTCTTAGCACCGCTGTATTTATTATATTCATTCATAAACATAAATACAACGTCATGATTAATCTTTGAATTCGACAGGTAATTAACTTCCATGTCACCTCAACGTCAATTATCTAGCTAATTTGATAATGCCATGTATCATATATATCGAATTTTAGGCCTCTGTTATCATCATTAACTAATCTCTTACTTTTTGTTTTTATTGATATTCTTTTCACATTGGACCCGTACACATCCACCCAAAAATAGTCATACAAAGGTAAAGAGCGAATCGCATAAAAAAATCAAGTAATTGTATTATAGTTTCTACAAATACTAACACATACAATTCATTTTTGTCATATACATACCAAATCAGTGTCTGCAGTGTTACATCAACACTACAAACATCGTTGAAGGAACGTAACATCGTGATCTCTTTCTCATCTGGTAACTACAATAATTATTTAGTTCTCTCGAAATATCATATATCAAATGATATTATTTACATTGACTATCAACTCATCACATAGTTAAAAACTTTACGAGTGAAGTACAGATCATCCCACCTACTATGTTTTGTGAAACGTTATTTATTTATTATCAGTATCACGTAATCAATGAGATATTATATTTCGAGACAATTTAATAATGTTTTCTTAATATTACATACTCGAATGCTATTCTCTCACATGATATTAAATTTATAGATTTGAAGGGTCTCACCTCATGTAAGAGGATTATGTTATGTTTCGTGCATATAAATTTTTATTTTATTTATATTCTCTGTGAATAGAACTTCTTGGTTCTTGCATGTAGGATCAAAGCCAGAAAAGTCCCAATAAAACAAAGGCAACCCCAGAAAATGAATGTTGTTTGATAGCATTCCATGCCAATGCACCTTCCATCTCTTCCACTGCTTTGTTTCCTGTAAACAAGAGCTGCCAAGCCCCCAAAAAGAAAGGACCCAATTGGAATATTGGCTACAACAATGTTGTGGTTGACACTAAAGTTTTTCATACCGAAGAGATCGGTGGTTGTGGAGACTGCAATGGAAGTGATTGCTCCAGTGCATACTCCTATGGTGGCAGTACTGATGTAGAGGGAGATGGTGGTCCTGTTGAGGAGTAAGAAAAAGGATGCTGACATTGGAGCCATCAAGGCTGCTATTGAAGCTGGTCTTGAAGGCATGCATTTACTCCTGAAATATAAATGAAACATGCAGAGAAATTAATTACTATCATCAAGGTTCATACATTATGTGCAATAATGTCAGTAATACTGACACAGAAACACATAAAAAAAATAAAATAGAGGATGATGTGATTGTATTGAGACTTACCATTTTGAAATAAAGTTCTTTATCATATTATTTTGGTAACAAATTCTGTATAAAATTTTACTAAATTTTTTTATCACTACATACAAAGATAATAATGAAGCTCATATGACAAGGGAAGTGGTGGCCAAAATCAGTTGCAGCTTGAATGATCAACTAATTAACACACTCATTACCCCCCAAAAATTATAGTAACAAGAACAAACTCATACAAGTTGTCTAAAATTATTTTAAAATTTTATTTTATTATTGCCAATAACAGCATGTTAACAAGGAAAGCTAGAGGGAGAGAGTTGAGAGCACACCTGGAGAAGAAGTTGTCCAGAAGAGAGGGGACGAGTCTTCCAAAGAATCCAAAGGAAGAAGACAGTGACAGCAGAGAAGAAGCTCTAGGGTAACCTCTTGACTCAGCTATCTGTCCCAAATTATTCAAATACACCAACCCAAGTGTTGCACCACAAAGATAAACACAAAAATATAACCAGAAATCCATTCTCATCATCATCACCTTCACTCCAATCTCCTCCTTCACCCTCACCACCACCTCATCACCTGTCCCAACAACACCCTGTTCCCCTTTCACCCCTTCCTCCAACCCCTTTCCACCACCACCAACAACCTCCTCCACATTACCATCACACACTCTTCTTATCCAGCATTTCTTCTCCAATCTCTCCATGACTCGTTCCGCCACCGGCACAACAATCGGAGCCAAAAGCAAAACCCCCATGGCGGTTACAATAATCCACGAAGCCAACATTAAACTGAAAAAACTGCTGATTACGGCGAATGTTCCTGTGGCGATTGTTATAGAAAACATTACAACAAACCCACCTTCGGTTCTCCTCGATTTCCCACTGTTAACATACCTAACTACTGGCAAAGCCACCACACAAACCATCAGAGGTAAAATTGAGTTCAAGAGAAGGTAAGCTTTGGCTCTTTCAATCGGAGAAGAGGGAAACAGAGCATCCACGATGTCTGTATAGATTTTTGCGCTCAAACCCAGGTAGCTAGTTGATAACCCAACAGCGACTTGGCGATCGAAAGGGAAATTATGAATCGTGACGCTGTAACAAACAGTGTTGATCCAGCAAATGCTGTTTCCCGCCAAAATTGATAAGAAGAAGACATGGGTATAGGAGAGAGATGTGATTTGGTTAGTTAGGAAGAGGAATTGGAGGCCGTAGCCGATGAAGCCGAGGAGGGAGCCGATGAGGAGGAGGAGCCAGAGGGGGAGGTGGAGGGAGGCGAAGCCGGCGAACCAGCCTAAGAGTTTGCCGGCGTCGGAGGCGAAGGTGAGGTTGTTGAGTTGGAGTTGGGAGATGGAGAGGAGTCGCTTGAGCTGAGATGAGTAGGCTGGGAAGTTTGAGTTTGTGCCGTTTATGGATTGAAGCCAAATAGCACCCACTAAGGTTAGCCATTGAAGGGCCATTAGATGTGTGGGTAGGGGGAATACTGTATTGAGTATGGAAAGCGATTTTGATGAAAGTGCTTTATAAAGCAGGTTTGTGTGTGTGTGTGTGTGTGTGTGTGTATAGCAGCAGCCTAGTAGGTGTGGAATGGATGTGGGAGTGTCAGTCTCGCACAATAATAAACAATATATATGAATGTTATAATAATAACAATGGTGATAATACGACAAAATGAATTGGGCTTCCCTCCCGTCCGACGGATTGAGAGGTGTTATTGGGCCTATGAAAACTTATTACAGGTTTTGTTTTAATAATTTGAACATATTAATATACAGAATTTGTCGAGTATTATATATTTGTAAACAATAACGATAATTGGATATCGATAGTTATCTTATCGGATTAAATTTCTATCACTCGTTTATTTTTTCACTATCTATTTTTTATACAAAATTGATTTGATCACGTAACTATCGATATCCGATCAATATAATTCTTACAATATATATTACTCGAAGAGTTTTACACATTGAACGATTCGGATTATCGAAATGGAACACGTGATGGACCTTCACAAGTTCAACAGTACTCTTCAATCTGATCACGAATTGGAAAGAAGCTAGCCCCCAATAAAATAATTGTGAGATTGTGAAAGTAGTGTTGGAAAATTGTTTTTTTTTTTCCTCTCTTGTGGAGACACAATTAGGATAAAGTAATTTTAAAATAAAATTCAAGTTACTTATAACATTTCTTGTTTAGTACTCAACTACTAAAGGATTTGAATTAAAAAGTCACCAACTAGAATTGTCTGTGAACAGAGAGTAGTTTGAAAGTGATTTAGGTGAAAGCGTCTTATCTGCATGTGCTAAATTACTTAGTAAATTATGAGTAAATTACCTATCAAATTCACAGTAAATTCTCAATAAATAGCTCAGTAAATTCTCAGTAAATCACTCAGAATATTCTCAGTAAATTGTCTATAAATACTCTGTAAGTTTCAAGCAAATTCTCAGTAAATTACTGGGTAAACTCTCATAAAATTACGTAGTAAATTCCATGTTAATACCCAGCAAATTCTTAATAAATTCTCAATAAACTATTCAGTAAATTCCCAGTAAATTCTCAACAAATTCTAAGTAAATTTTTTTTGATACCCAGAACACTCCCAAGGCAGGACCCTTAGGATCCACCTTTACAAGTTAAATTGGAGGCAGCTAGCCGATCCACCTAAACCGTCAGACTTCCACTTGAGTAGTAAGGGATTTGAATCCGGGTCAATAAGAAGAAGAACATACTCCCTTACCAACTAGTATGGTCCCTTAGGCCTCGTTTGGGAACATGCTAATTTAGTAATTTTTTGACTAATTGGCTAAAAAGGTGGTAAAAAAAACTTGTATGTTTGGGGATGACTTTTTGATTAATTACGAAAAGCTGTGCAAAAAGTAGAGAGAAGCCGTAATTGTTGACTTTTTGGTAGGACTAATTGGCTAATTTAGTAACATTTTGACTAATTGACTAAAAAGGTAATATCCCAAACGAGGCCTAGTGGTAGATCTACACTCTCCGTTTCAATGTGGATTGTGATTCTCATCATTTTATATTTATAAATTATTTAATGGTACGGGTAATAATCTTTTGTAATATCAAATTATTATAAATTTACATTCTCATTCTATAACCATTAATATGTAATAGAAATCTCTCATTACATATCTGGTATTGAAAGGATCAAAGTCTGTTTAACATGAATTGCATTTCATTGCATTGTTAATTTTGTAACAGTTAAAGATTAAAGTATATCATAAGCTAGTATTTGTTTTAAATATTTCTATTAAATTTGTATACAATCATTGTTTGGGGTGTGTTGTATAACCATAATTTTTATTTTTTTATCTTTTTTAAATCATTACCTCTTTACTTTTCTATACATTTTTTTATAAAAAGTAAAAAAAAAATACTTAGATCATTCTAAATAATTCTTAAATGTATTACTATTAATTTTGTAATTGTTAATACTTAAAAGTACATTTATGGTTTTGAGGCAGGATCAAACGTACATTAGATTGATTTTTTCAGTTCAATAGTTGATCAATCAATCATTTTCATGAGTTTTTTTTTTTCCCCATATTTTCTCTAATTAATTAATCATCTCACTTACACATTGGCCCTATTTGGCAAGAGGTGTTTTGACTTTTTTTTTGGGCTAAAATTTACAAAAAACAAAATAAACTAAAATATCTAATAAAATAAAATATCACATCAAATTCATAATCATTTCACTTTTTTTTCTAATAGATATCATATCTAACTACAAAAAAATCTAGCCATCTTCCCAAATACAAAAAATTTAACCTACTAAAATAGTCCTAAACTAAAATAGCTTACTCCCTCTGTCCCAAAATAACGGTCCCTTTTGGGAATTCTAAATTTTGTTGGTAGTACAATTATTACATTTGAAAAAAGTTGATTTTCCAAAATTATCCTTTTGATGGTGGTCCTGTTTGGTAGAACTGTAAGAAAGTGCTTATAGTTTATGTCTAAACAGCTTATAGCTTATAACTATGAACATAAGCTAATTTCTGACTTATAAATTAAGCATCTCCTGCCCCACTCAAAGAATAAACTGATTTCTGACTTCCAAAAAGTTATAAGCTATAAGCTAAACCAAACACATCAAAATAGCTTAAATTAAGCTGAAAGCTAAAATAAGCTGTTTTAAGTTCTGCCAAACAGGCACAGTACATTTTTTGAGAATATCAATGTCATAATTGTACTTTCTATATTGTTTATTAATTTAAAAGAAGGGTAAAATAGAAAATTTATATTATTTTTGTACTTGATTTTTAAAGAGGGACTAATATTTTGGGACAATGAAAAATGAAATAAGGGACTAATATTTTGGGACGGAGAGAGTACTAAAATAACCAACTTCCCAAACGAAGCTGTTATTAGATCTAAAAAATGAATTTATATATTATTTTTTACAAAAAAATTACCAATTTATAACCATCGAGAAACAATTTTTATTTGTACGTTGTGTTGCATAATTTATTAAGGCTTAGTCCAAAGTGATTATTTCAAGACTTAATTCATTATGAATCTTCGGGGAAAATATATATTAGCCAATTTTACTTCGGTCACGTGGAAGTTCGGTCATATAAAAAACCATCCCACTTGGTTTAAGCAGTGGGGGAGGGTGCAAAAGGATAAGCATTATCCTTAGGAGAATGAATCCTAGGAG